GCTCAGGAGGTAGAGGAACATGCTGAACAGCACCAAGATGGGGACGGAGGGAGGCCCTGTAGGTTCAAGGAGACCTGGACGACACACAGTGCTATAAAGCAGTGCAGGCAAGACCCAGCTGCAGTGTCTGGGTGATGAAACTAGACAGAGTGCATGAAGTGATCACTGTAGAGGTCAGGGTCGTGGCTCCTGAGGGAGGAGGGCAGTAGAGCCTGCAAGGGCTTTCAGAGGGGCTGCCAGGGTCAACGTTCCACGTCATGGGTGCTCACTTTACAATTCATTCCGCTGTGCTTGTCTTGTGTGGTTTTCTTAGTATGTGTTTGTGTTACAATAAAAGGATTGTAAAAATCTGAAAGAGTAAGAAAATCTAAAAAAAATCAAATAAGTTTTCAAGGTGATCCTTTTATTTATTTTTTTTATTATTATTTTTTAAAATATATTCTGAGCAATTGTATAGGTGGCCCTTGGTAAGGTAAGGGAGGCACGGTCAAGGTGAGGTGGACCGGAGGCCTTGTTACCTTCCTGACACATTTCTGCGTTCACAGGGATTGTCCCAGCCTAAAGGGAACCGTTAGCTGGCCAATAGCCTTTGCACATTTATCACTTGATAGTCTCTGGGAGGCCTTTGTGGGTGTGACGGCACCGCTGTGTAATATGGGTGGGCTGACTTAGCAGGGAATGCAAAATCACCTGCCTTCACCGCTTCTCTCTCGGCCGGGTTTCGATGTCAGGGACCCTGCATGCCAGGACCACCGAATCCACCCTGTGGGAAGCTAGCAAGGCTGGCTTCGAGGCCCATTTCCTCCCCTGAGACCCCCGTCAACTCAAAGCCAACTGCCAACTCCTTCTCTGCGTCCCTGAGCGTCACTGCAGCGCTGCGATTTTCTGACGTAGACACCACCTCCCTGATTAGAGAGGAGGTGAGACCCAGGCAGGGGAGAACACAGCAAAGGTGATGCAGGCTCTGCCCAGCACTGGGGAGGCTGGGAGGCGCCGGCAGGGACCAGATGTCGACCTGTGACCTCCGGAGCCTGGGCTCTGAGGTGAGCAGAGGTAAGTGAGCACAGCGATGCGGAAGGTGCGGATGTTCAGCTTTGGGTTTTTTCTTCTTCTTCTTTTTTTTTTTTTTTTAGTGAATTTAACACCAAAAGAAAGTGGAAAATAACAAGACAGATTTTATCTATCCCAACAGGGTACATGAGGCCACAAAGCTGGGTGACTACCAGACGCCCTTCCCGTCCCAGCCAGGGCCTCCCTGGGAATGTTGAGCCCTGAGTGGATGTGACAGAGCCCGAGGGAACCTGCCCCCGCCTGACACAGAAAGGTCTTCACTGTCGTTGGTGTAAGGAGGGTTTAGTTGTCACTCTACATATCAATCAGTCAACTATTTTCAACACTAAAAATAAAATGTCAGCCCGGCTGGTGTGCCTCAGTGGTTGAGCATCGACCTATGAAGCAGGAGGTCACGGTTCAATTCCCGGTCAGGGCACAGGCCCCGGTTGGGGGCTCGACTCCCAGTGGGGAATGCGCAGGAGGCAGCCAATCAATGATTCTCTCTCATTGATGCTTCTCTCTCTCTCTTTCTCCCTTCCTCTCTGAAATCAATAAAAATATATTTAAAAAATAAAATGTCAGCTTCTTATTTGCATCTGAAGAAATTTGAATGTGGACTAATAAAGATTTGATCAGGGAACACAATTCTTCTCTGAGAAATTTCAGACGATGGCTGATTTTCCCCCTGCTAGTTTTACCTCAATATTTTAAGATATTTTCGTTGGGAACTTGTGAACAAAAGAAGAAATTTAGCAGGCTCTGCTTTTAGTCCAGGCAGCTCCTAATCTGTCCATCCCCGTCCCAGATGACAACTATAAACTCAGATGATAGATGAAGGCAGCTCCATGAGGGCACTGGGCAGTGACCCAAATGAGGCAGATTGGGACGGGGTGGGGGGACACTGGGGGACAGGATTGCACTGGGTGAATTTCCTGTATTTTACAATCCCCAGCCTCAGGGCAGGCTCTAGTTCACAGGGCCTCAGATACATAATGTCGTTGATCACTTTTTAATGTGCTTATCCATTCAGAAGAACAGATACAGAAAAAGATTTCAATAATGAAGTGTGTCTTAAAGGGCCTGTAGGTAATACTAAAAAGTATAGTAGTATACATTTAACTATAGTCTGAGAAGAAAGGGAGAGAAGTAACAGTTTTTAACTTCTCAATGTTGGTGGACAACATAAATTTACAGCTTTAAGAAGTTCAGCAAACCCTAAGCAGAACAAATATAAAGAAAACTACACCTACGTACATCATAGTCAAATCACTGGAAACCAAGGATTAGTAGAAAATCACAATAGCAGCCATAGGAACACAGCACACTGGTCACAGTGATTCAAATAATGGGCTCAAGAAATGGAGCCTCCAGCAGGCAGAAAACCAGCAAGGTCATAGTTGAATTCAACAACAACATCAATCAACTAGATACACTGGACATCTACTGACTCCATCTAACAACAGTGGGACACACATTTTTCTCAGGCTCACATGGGACATTCACCAACAGAAGCCACATTCTGGGTCAAGGACACACCTTAACACATTTAAAAGAAGAGAAATCATATCATATCTGCTCGCAAACCACAATGGAATGAAACTAAAAATCGGTAACAGAAGGATAACTGGAAAAATCCCAAAATACATGGAGATTAAACAACACACTTCTAAAGAACACATGGGTCAAAGAAGAAATCCCAAGAGAAATTTTAAAATATTTTTAGATAAATGAAAATGAAAACACAACGTACCAGAATGTTTGCGACGCAGTGAGAGCACTGCTTAGAGACACATTTGTAGCCTTGAATGCATATATTAGAAAAGGAGAAAGATCTAAAGTTAAGTGTCTAAGCTTCTGCCTTAGGAAGCTAGAAAAAGAAGAGCAAGTTGTAAATCCAACACAGGTAGGAAAAAATAAATCATAAAAATTAGAGCAGAAATCAATGATATTGAAAACAGGAAACCAATAGATAAAATCAACAAAACCAAAAGCTATTTCATTGAAAAGAGCAATAAAACCAATAAACTTCTATCCAGGCAAACTAGGAATAAAGAGAGGCCACAAATCACTAATCTCAGAAATGAGAAGGGGACATCATTACAAATATCACAGTCATCAAAATATTCTTTTATCAATAATAAAAGAATATTGTGAACAATTCTATGCTCACAAACTTGGTAACCTAGGTAAAAAGGACTAGGATTCCTTGAAAGACATAATCTGCCAAAACCCCCACAAGAAGAAATAGACCATTTGAATGGACCTCTAGCTATTAAAGAGACCTAATGAAGAATTAATAACCTTCCAAAACAGAAAGCACCAGGCCCAGATGGGTCCACTGGTGAATTCTACCAAATATTTAAGGGAAAAAATTATACAAAATTTCTGCAATCTCTTTCAGAAGAGAGAAGCAGAGGGAATTATTTTTTAATTCATTTGATGAGGCCAACATTACTCTAGTAACAAAACCAAAGACATTACAAAAAAGGAAACTACAGACCAATATCTCCCATGAACATAGATGCAAAAATCCTCCACAAAAAATTACCAGAGCAAATCCAACAATGTATAAACTCTCAGTCAACTAGAAATAGAGGAGAACTTCCCCAATTTGATAAAGAATATCAACAAAAATGCTACAACTGACATCATATTCAATGGTGAGAAATGCAACCCTTTCCCACTAGCATCAGGTACAAGGGAAGGGTGTCCCCTCTCACTTCCTTTAACATCATACCAGAAGTCTTACCTAATGCAATAAGGTAAGAAAAGGAAACAAAAGGTAGAGAGATTGGGAAAGAAGAAATAAAACTGTTTGTGGATGACATGAATGCCTATGTAGAAAATCCAAAAGATTAAAAAACAACAACACCCTGCTGGAGGTAATAAGTAATTATAGGAAGGTTGCAGGATACAAGGTTAATATACAAACGTCAATTGTTTTCCTATATACCAGCAATGAACAGGTGGGATTTGAAATTAGAAACACAATACCATTTACATTAGCACCACAAAAATTAAATATTTAGCCCTGACCGGTTTGGCTCAGTGGATAGAGTGTCAGCCTGTGGACTCAAGGGTCCCGGGTTCGATTCTGGTCAAGGGCATGTACCTTGGTTGCGGGCACATCCCCAGTGGGGAGTGTGCAGGAGGCGGCTGATTGATGTTTCCCTCTCATCGATGTTTCTAACTCTCTATCCCTCTCCCTTCCTCTCTGTAAAAAATCAATAAAATATATTTTAAAAAAAATTAAATATTTAGGTATATATCTAACAAAATATGTACAAGATCTATTATGAGGAAAACCACAAAGCTTTGATGAAAAAAACAAAACAAAAAACAAAGAATGAAATAAGTGCAGAAATAGTCCGTATGTGTGTCCTAAGGGACAGACAACTACAAACATTTTTCAACATGCCACACTCAGGAGATAGGATTCTTATGCGCTAGCGGGTATATTTCAGCCAACTAAAAATGAATTTTAAAACATTATCAAAATAACTAGCAGTGAGCTGTGAATCCGCTTAACCACAGGACGAAGGCCAGAACAAAGTGACTAAATGTGTGAGGATGTTAGGTCATAAATTTCTGACCATAGAGAAATCCTAACTAACACTCACAGGGGTTTGGAGCGTAGAGGGGCAAGCAGGTGGGCAGGAGAAAGAGTGTGCTCGTGTCCACATCTGTGTGGCCCGTGGCCCAAAGGCATTATTTGAGGTTAATAAAGCAGGTGATGGAGGTGCAAGGATATTTAAAGTGAAATGTAAGCATGAAGAAAGGTGGGGGAGGGGTGGGGAGGAGAGGGAGGCCAGGAACCCACACCACACCCCTCTGGGCACCACTCGTGGGGGCGCTCAGCATGCAGAGCTTAAGATGGGAGAACGGACTCTTATAAAGTGCAAAAATTAATCACTCACATATTAGAAGTAAACCAAATACATCCAAAGTTGTTCTTAAACTACTAGGTGTTTATTTTGCACAAAATGTGATGAGAGTAAGAAATATTGCTGGTATGCATATCATTCCATTCCAGCTGGTCTTTTTGATTTTGTGTCCAAAGCGGTGGTGGTGAAGACTGGTAGCCAGAAGCTGTAACAAAAAAACACACACAAAAAAGCCACTTCCATTATGTGATTGCATAATTTTACTCTCAGAGGAGCTCAATAAAATAGAAGCCTAGAGTTGCTTTTATTTCTTTGCTGAAGATTAAGTTTCACAGGCCAACACGAGGTTGGATAGTTAACACCTAAGATTCTCCTGCAGAATACATTTCAACATTTAAAAACTCCTCAGCCTGAGGAATTGGCCGCCTGCTACAGTAAAACCAGGATCCGGCCTTCTCCATCTGCTCGTGGACTCCCCGCATTCCACTGCGGAGAGAAAGTAAGCCCCTAAAATAGACTGCCGTCACTAGATTGACATGTCCCTTTGGTAAGAAATAATTTGCAAGGAAAGTTCCATATTCAATAGCTGAACTTAAACATTTTATATTTGGGGGGGGAGTTACCCATATTAAAAATATGTTGAGTGGAAATTGTTATCAATGATGATGCTAAATGTACCTTCTTCTGATCAGGATTTCCCATCCAATGTCCTTCAACCTGAAAACAGTTTAGATAGAGGAACGGTTTCCTCTCTTCATTTCGACGTGTGGGCGGCTCTAGGGGCAATAACACACCGTCTTGCCCCCACCCTGTCCATTTTCAGGAAGCTCCCTGCCCATCTGGGCAGGAGTCCGATGCGTCCTGCAGAGAAGGCCACGCACGCGGCAGCCCATCTGGTGAACATTAGCCCAGGGACTTCTTGGTCGAGGTAGCTTTCACATAGTTTTGGTACAAACTGAAAATACAGGATTCAATTACAAAAGAATTTTGAAAAATAAGTGTGGTCAGAGCAAAGTTGTACGGGGATCAAAAAAAAAAATACCAGAAAAAAACACATTGGAAGAAAAACAGGAAAATGTGTTTTAAAAATTAAAAGCCATTCAAAGATATGCAATGTCTGCCACAAAAGCCCTTTTTAGAAACAAAATCTTCAAGTCAACCTGAGGGTATTTTTTCCAAACCTTTTTCAGAGAGAATGGAAGGGAGGGTGGGGGGAGAGAGAGAGGGAAACATAGATGTGAGAGAGACACATCGACTGGGGGCGGGGAGGGAACCCACAACCCAGGTACATGCCCTTGACTGGGAATCGAACCCGAAACCCTAGGGTGTGTAGGCTGACGCTCTAACCACCGAGCAACACCGGCCCAGGAATCAAGTTCACATTTTTATGATATTTGCATTAATTTTGGTAAAGAACCACATAATTAAATACTTTCAGTCATTGTGATTCTAAAATCATTGTTTCTCTGTTATGCTCACAAAATAATTATACTACTTACATTTGCTCTTTTAAAGGAGAAAAGATGTTATAAATGGCAGGTTTGAGGGTCCAGAAGTGCCCTTGCTACTTGCTTTCTGTGGCAGAGCTGCAGTGACCCACCCTGTCTAATGAGAGGGCCGCTCATGAAGCTATTCCTGTCATGGCCACACGCAAACTTTCCTTAATCATTTTTTTTATTCTAGAAAACATTGCAACTTCTCAAGGGTCAGCATATTCCACGGTTAACTGTTAATGCACGCAGACGCCAGCTGCTGCTTCACAGACCCCGTCATCCTTCCTGGGCCGCACTCTGGAGGCAACTCCCAGCCTCCTTGTGGCCAGTGGCCCGGGACCAAGTTCTAGCCAACAAACTGTGGGAGCAGGATGCTTCCAGAGGCCCTCGCCTCCCCGCTCTCTTCCTCGCAGCCGGTGGGAAGGGAGGCAGCCCAGCGACCTGCAAAGTCCCTTGGAAGATGGCAGCTTGGTCCCTGAATGGCTGAGTGGGGAAGGGACCCTCTGTGCTACTCAGGCCCTCCCACGGCCCTCACCCTGCGGCCCAGCAGATGAACCGCTTTCAAGGACCACACTGGTCATGTGTTTGAGCCAATGAAGCATTTTTGTGACTACTGGTTGGAGCATTTAGCCCACCCCACATGCCCAGCCAAGTGTAAGAGTTCCTTTACCCCTTGTCCTGAGATCTTGCTGAGCATTTCTGGGTTTTCTGTTCACCTCATGGTACCAGCTTCTGCTCTGTGACTGGAACTGTCCAGAAGCGTCGTCCTCAGACACTGGGCTTGTGTTCCCAGCACCGCGTCGTGACCATAGTCCTCCCAGCAGCCATCGCGGAGGCTCAGCTCACACTCGCTGTTTTCTCTCCGTCCTGGGCTAGAGCTCCCGCTATGACCTGCCGCTGCACGTCCAGCACATTCCATCCCCAGGATGCCCGAGCGCCCGGCAGGTGCTCCATGCGGCCAAGCGACCAGACTCCAGACAGGTGTGCTCAGAGGAGAGCCTTTAATTAACTGCAGACTCTTCCAGCAAAGGGAGCTGGCAAGGCCTTTCCATCCAGAAGGCTCCGTGCGCTGGCAGAGCTCTGAGCAGGAGCCAGGGCAGGGGGTCGGCTGTTCCACGTTTTCCAGAGAAATGAGACCTAAGAAATGGAACACGGAGTCTGCTCACACCATGGGAGGCACCTTTTCCACGCTTGCTGCATGAGCTACACATCTTTTTTTTTTTTTAAATATATTTTTTTATTGATTTTTCACAGAGAGGAAGGGAGAGAGATAGAGAGAGTTAGAAACATCGATGAGAGAGAAACATCGATCAGCTGCCTCCTGCACATCCCCCACCGGGGATGTGCCCGCAACCCAGGTACATGCCCTCGACCGGAATCGAACCCGGGACCTCTCAGTCCGCAGGCCGATGCTCTATCCACTGAGCCAAACCGGTTTCGGCCTGAGCTACACATCTTCATGGCAAACAGTATAATTAATAAAAAGAAGAAGACACTCATAACACCATCCCACAGAAAATGCCTCATATGCCTGTCTCTATCTGAGCACAGATAACTACGCACGTTGTCCTATATGAGCGTGTAATATACGATCTGTCGTATGGATTTTTCATTTAACAATGACATCACTAGCAGTTTTCAAGGTCAGTAAATGGAGAGTTGTGTGGACTGACATTGTCTGAAGAAATACAATTTACTGACTAATTCTTCATTGTTGACCATTTAAGTTGTTCAGATTTTAGCTTTTGTCAGAAAGCTGTGAAAATACAGCTGTGCTTATATTTGGGGGCATATCTCATATCCTCAGGACAAATTCTAAGAAGTTGGACTCATTTTTAAGGTTTCTGGTAGGGGACATCCAAGTATCCCACAGAGACAAGCGACAAAAGCGCCAGCGTCCCCGACGTGTCCTCCCCCCACGACAGTCTTTTTAGTATTTGCTAATCGGGTGCCTAAAGCTGGTGCCTGGTTACTCCTTTAATTTCACCATTTCATAGCTAAGTTGGCTGGTTTTCATGGTAATTGACCACTTGCTGTTTGTGCCTGAGTGGAGGGCTGCATGGCATCTCTGTACCTAAATCTACTTATCCACGAGTGGGAACCGTAATCATGGCAACCTCGTGGGTTGTGTTGAGGATCAAATATGCAAATATATGTAAAGTATGTACTTCTATTAGCATCTGGCACATAGCAAGCACTATCAAAACGTTATTATCGTAGAGTCTGGTCTTAATTTAATTAAGGTATATGGTTGTTTCACTCCATTCAATCACAAATTCATATTTTATGAGCTCTTAAAAGTCTCCAAGTCATCAGTTCCAAATAGACTACCCTGGACACAACTGGAACCTACTGGGTACAACTGGAGTTTGCATTTTGATAGCTGTTCCTCCCATGGCCAGACCCTGGACCTGGATTGTGGGTCGAGGAGGGGACACTCTGAGCTGCAGGTGGGTGAGTCCCTGGGGACTAGCGGCCTCATGGTAGAAAAATGGTTGGCAAAGATGGTGCCCCGAGGAGGGGGAAACCTAGAGGAGAACTGGAGCCCTCCAGAGACTGTCCATTAAACAAAGAAACATGCTTTGGGCGCCAACTTGGCTCCCCAGCCTGGATGGTAACAGGCCAGAGCCTTGAGCATAACCAAACAGGCGGGTGTCCAGGAGCCTTAATGCAGCCACAGCCCATCGACCGAGGTGGACACAGGCCACTCTAGGAGTTGTTAGGTTGTAGAATTTTGCTCAATTTGTCATCTTAAAGCGATGAACTCAACTCACACGGAGCGGGCAGGAGTTCCCACACTGTCGGATTCCGAGTGAGCACGCCCTGCCCGCCTGCCAGCCACTGCTGGCAAGTCCAGAGGAAGTGGCGTCAGGTCCTCAGGTTGTGCTGTTTGCAGAGGAAAGAACTGGAAACTATGGACAAGCCCTTACAGGACAGGAAGCGTCTCTGCGTGGGGACCAGGGAGAGGACGCAGCTCCCAGCACAGCACCCCTGCTGGCCGCCCCCGCGGCCCCCTCTCTCTGTCCTGACCTCATCCGTGCACCCCTTTGCTTCTCCTACAGCCACTCCCATGGGATCTCATCATGCTGCAGTGATAACTCGGGTTTGCTGCCTCCACCTCTCCATGGAACTCCAGGCCGGCACATCTGTATTCTCGGGGCTCTCCAGAGAAACAGAACTACCAGATGTATATATAGGGAGAGATTTACCACAAGGCATTAGCTCACACGATGATGGAAGCTGACACACGTCGGGACCTGCAGGCTGAGTCAGCAGGCTGGAGACTCGAGAGAGCTGAAGGTTTCGTTCCAGCTGAAGGCAGGAAAAAGCCAGTGTCTCCATTCAAAGGCCAGCAGGCAGGAGAGTCCTTTCTCACTTGGGGGAGGTCAGTCTTTTTGCCATCCTCAAACCTTCACCTGATCAGTTGAGGCCCACCGTCTGGGGAGGGCAATCTGCTTACTCCGTCTACCTATGTAAACGTTAATCTCACCCAGAAACACCCTCGAACACAGACCCAGAGAGATGCTGAACCAAATATCTGAGCCAAATATCAAGTTGACGGGTGAAATTAACCATCACAGCTCCCGAGCGGAGGATTAGCATCATCGCCTGCCAGTTAGGGAGTGCAGAGGGGAGGGTCCTCCCCGGTCTGGACAGAAGCTGTGAGGACCCAGCTGACCCAGAAGCCAGCCTCTGAACCTTCAGAGCTCAGGGTGGCCCCCAGGGAGGGTCCCAACCGCAGGGAGTGGCTGGAAGCCACTTTCTTAAGTCGTGTGCCTGCTGCCTATCCACTATGCAGCGTCCTACCCTCCCGAGCAGGTGAAACCTGGGGGCTGCGGGTGAGCAGAGCCTCCTGTCTAGGGGTCCAGGATAGGAATGGGTGAACGTGAGGGTGGGGAGGAAGGAGAATTCTACAGGGTCACTATCAGGGAGGCTGACAGGAAGGCAGTGCAGGAAGGGGAGCCATGCCTGTCCCATCTTCATTCACAGCTTGCCAGTGGGTCATGGTGAGGGCACAGTGCTCAGGAAGTGCCGTGAGCCTACGCGGACCCTCAGTCAGCGGGAAAGGGCACCTGTCGGACCTGCCCCAGGGAGTCCTTCTTGACAATGTGGGGGTCCCGAGCCCCTGGGAGATGTGGGGGAGGCGCCGCATAGAAACTGGCCAGTGGGGCAGCACCCAGGCCTCTGGAAAAGGCCACTGCTGCAGAGCTGAGCGTGTGGGGGAACTCCAGGAGCAGAGGGCGGTGCGAGGGAACCCTGACTCCAGGTGCAGCTGCAGAGGCAGGAGTAGCGGCTGCCACGCTGGCATCCTGGGCTACGGGCCCAGCAGCCACCACACCACAGTGGTGTCGGCGCCCACCCTTCCTTAACCAGATGCCGTCAACCTAAGGGCCCTGCCGGTTTTATTGAGCCAGAGCCACCGTGATGGGGAGGGTATTTTTAGACTATTTTCTGCCGAGTGGCTTCAGCAGGATTAGCATAACCAGGCATGAAAAGCCCACACCGCACACAGCAAGGCCGGGCAGGACCGGCTCCCACGCGCCGAGAGGCTGTGAAGGAAACCCCTCTCCAGCCCAGATTTAAGTCACCCACTTCCATCGCTTCAGTAACCAGGATCTCACATTAGTCATGAGAAGCCAACCAAACAGAAAGGCACCTCTTTGTGGAAAAGGAAGACAAAGCCCGAAAGCCGACACGTGGGGCAGAGGCTGCGCCGCTTGTCGGCGTTTATCTCTCTTCCTGCACCTTCTGGTTTCTTCTATTCGTGGAAGGACAGAATGGAGCCGCAGCAGAATGAAAGGAAACGCGGGGCCAACGGGAGGGCGGTCTCGGCAGATCCTGAAATAAAAATGGTTTTCCCACAAAGCCTTTGCTTGTCAGAGATACCAAGCAGAGATATTTCCAGGCGCTATTAACGCACGGAGCCCCAGTTTGTGGATTGTCACCGGCTTCTGCCCCTCCTCCACCCGAACCATCTGGGTGCGTGGCTCCTTCCTTTTAAATCCTTTTTTTTAAGAATAATGACTTGGTTGTTCTCTATAGGAGGGGCGTGTGCACGTGTAGAGTCCACCAATTCCAAAAGTTATCAAAGAGAAAGCGATAAGGAACCAAAAAATTCACTGCCAATGGCACGGCCAGAGAACCTCCTGTGTCTGCCTGGTGGGGCAGGCCCACACCCGCCACTGAAGGAAGACTGACCGGCTCATGAAGGAGGTGGAAGGCAGAGGGAGAGGCAGGTAGGATTTTCTTTGACTATAACAGGAGAAAAAGGCATGGAGTGAATTTGAGGACTGCGAAATGGCACATAAATAAATCTTTGTCACAAGAAATAGCTTCTGAATGCTCCCTCAAAGATAGTCATCAGACACTGAAAATAAGGCACTGTGTTGGGACCAGCCCTCCCTTCGGCACAACATGCCCGGTCAGGTGCACGAACAGACAGACCTGGGAGAGAAGAGCAAGCCGGAAACCGGCCCAGGTATGCAGGGAAGTCGGTGTTTGATCAAAGTGGCATTTCCGGGGTTCATGTTCAGGAAGGTCCACACCCAGGAAGGCCCATACTCAGGGGCGTCTGTGCTCAGGAGGACCCTGCTAGCAATTTTAATGCTCTGTGGTTACTGTCTTGAAATTTTAGCAGTTTCATTGCTGAATTTGTGTTTTGAAGACGGAGCATGTTCTGGGCTTGGAGCCTGGCCTCGAAAGTGGCCACATCTCTCACCACCTGCCCACCCCCACTCAGTGACCACTACCACCTCTGCTCTATCAGAGGCCTGGACACAGGGTGGGAAGGGGTGGAGATGAGCACGTGGACCGGAATACTAAGTGGTAGAGTGGGATCCCTGGTGCCTATGAGGGTCTGTATTTGCCTTGTAAATATTCCCATGCCCCAGGGATCATGACAGAGAGAGAGAGAGTAGATGAGAGGGAGGAAAGAAAGGAGGGAGGGCGGGAGAGAGAGGGAGAGAGACTTCGAAAGAAATGAAAGGGCTTTTGTCCTGCATTTTGAACAAGGTGCCAACATTTTCATTTTTCACTGGGCCTGCATATTATATAGCTGGCCTGCGTCTCATGAATTATACAATATGTGATATTCTTCTAGGGTTTGCTCTTTAATGAACATTGAGACGTCAGCCAGACCCCAAAAGAAAAGTCCTGTATTACCTTCCTCTTGTGGCTTCCTGGGGTCCCTGCACCATCTGTTCCACCGCCCCATTAGCTCAGTCATGTGGGCACAGCAAGAGTGTCATCTGCAACCCTGTGTCACAGTCCTGGCCGATGCAATGAGGCAAGAAAAAGAAAAGGGAGCATACAGAGTGGAGAGGAGGAAGTAACCCTGTGTTTGTTCATAAACAACAGGGCTGTAGACGTCGATATAGAAAATCCCTCAAAACCCACAAAAAGCAATGGAATTAGTAACTGAACATAGAGAAGGCAAAGATACACCAACACGCAAAACCAATCTCACTTCTAAATGCTAGCAAGACACAAGAGGAAAGTTAAATTTAAAAACACCGTTTACAGGAGCAGCAAAAAACATAAGGTATGTGGGAATGAGTTTAACAAAAAGATATGTAAGACTTCTACTCCGAAAACGCCAAAGAATGCTGCCAAGAGAAATGAAAGCAGTAAATGAACAGAGATACGTGCCACGACCGTGGGGGGAAGACTCGGCACCTTTTAGCGTCTTTCTCCCCAAAATAACCTGCTGCTCAATGCCTCCCTCATCAAAATCCCAGCAGGCTTTTTTTGTAGAAATTGAGGAGCTGATTCTAAAAGTGTGATGGAGACACAAAGGGCTCCGAGGAGCCCCAATAGTGCTAACAAAGAGCCTCTGGGACTGACAGCAGCTCTGGCTGCGAAGCTACAGGAATCAAGGCAGCCACGAAAACAACAGGTGAAGGGACAGAATGGAGTCCAGAAATAGACCCACCACAGGTCAGAGATGTCAAGAATGGCTTCCTCTTGGCTTGACTTAAAAAGGATTTTCTGGGGCTGAGGGTGGCTGCTGTAATGTGATCGGGATTCTGGTTATACAGTGTATATATCTGTCACAAGTTATCCAGCTAGGCCACTGAGGTACTTGCTTTTTACCATAGGTAAACTGTCTGCCAATGCAATCTATATAAAACCCTAATATGCAAATAGACTGAATGGGGGAACAACCAAACAACCGGTCGCTATGAAGTGCGCTGACCAAAAGGGGTGCATGCGGAACATGGCGGGCGTCGGCCGTGGTGGGATGGTGGAGCAGGTGAGTGGGGGTGCCAGGCCAAGGCGGAGTGCCGGTTTCTGTTATTGGGGTGAGCCTCTGGTGGTTACTGAAAATTCTTTGCTCCCGTGCGCTATGGTCCTGCCAGGTGCTCGCACCTGCTGCCAGCACTGGCCCCATTTGCACCCACTGCTGGCTCCCGGTACCGGCCCTGATCGCTCGGCGCTGTCAGCAGATGCAAGTGGTGGCTGCTGCCCCAATCACCCCTCAGGGCTTCTCCACCTCCCCCTGTTCCTGAGGGGCAATCGGGGCAGCAACTGCCGCTTGTACCCGCTGATGGCACCGGCCCTGCTCTCACCCGCTGCTGGCACTGGCCCCAATTGCTCCATGCTGTCAGCAGGTGCGAGCGGGGCCAGTGCTGTCAGCGCATCAGAGCGGTGGCAGAGGGAGCGGGGCTGCCAGCAGACAGGGGACCTGGGGGCTATGGCAGGAGGGGCTGGGTGGGGGTGTGGAGGATGGGCCAAGACCTGTTCCTGTGCCCACCGCAGCCTTGCAGCCCACAGTTCCTTTCAAGGTACATGAATTCGGGCCCTTAGTCCTATATAATAAAAGGCTAATATGCAAATTGACTGAACAGCAGAACAACCAGTCACTATGACACACACTGACCACCAGGGGGCAGACGCTCAATGCAGGAGGAAGTGCCTCCCACAGGGGGAAGCGCCTCTCCGCCAGAAGCCTGGCTCAAGGCTGGCAAGCACAACGGTGGTGGTGGGAGCCTCTCCCGCCTCTGTGGCAGTGCTAAGGATGTCCGATTGCCGGAGTGAAAGAGGGTGCAGGCTGGGCTGAGGAACCCCCTTCTACCCCCAGTGCATGAATTTTGTGCACCGGGCCTCTAGTGGGTTAATAATTAGCATGAGAGGGTCTGATGGGCTGGGGTAGGATTCCTGCCAGACATTGCTGAGAAACAGAGGTGGGGAGCAGCTTCTCTGGTAGACTTGCTACAGGCTCTTTTTTGGGTGAAACATGGACTAACTGTTATTTTAACATGTTAGCAAGTTTCTGTTACTTTCTAGAAAGGTTTTTTTTTTTAAATAATTAAGCTCAGATCCTTCTGTCAATCAACCGGTTGTGACGGAGGCTGACACGCTAATGGGAATGAGCCAAGCTGGGCCCCTTCACTTACACTTACCAGCCTGATGGGGGCTGAGCGTTTCTTGAAACAGCCTGTTAAACTATCTCCACTCATAACAAGAGTGCCCAGTGCCCGCCACCCACGTGCTTAGGGCAATGCAGTGAGAGGGCGGACTGTCCCAGTTCCCCCTCCTCTTCTCCCTTCCTCCTGGGGGACAGGCTGTGACCTGAGGCCTGGAATCCTTGCCGAGAAGCTGCCTGGCACCCCGTTACAGGATGTCCTGCTGCCCTCCTGCAAAGCTGCCTGTGGAATATGGATTAAATGCCGAGCATGAAACACCGAAATGAAATACACGTTGGGCTCGGGAAAGCCGTCGTGGTGCACTCAGCCAGCCCCTGCTCCAGGAACTGGGACGGGGGCCTCACCCCGCACCCACAGACTGAATGGGCAACCAAGACACTATAAGGCAGTCAAGGAAAAAATATGTTCTTCCATTTTGGGAAATAGTCGAAGCTTTTATATTCCACCAAAAATAGAAGTGGAATTCTAGAAAGCAAGACTAGCTGGGCTTATGCATGTCTGCCATTCAGACAAACCCGCATAGACTATGATGCTCTCATCCTTCTGGAATGTGTGCCTGGGTTTCCCTGAGGTCCTGGACCCTGGACAGAAGGGAGTCTGGGACCTGCTCTGGGCCTGCGCCAGTTCAGCCACCCGGACCCCCTCCGGGTCCTCATGTTCTCCCCCGACCCACGGCCCCACGCTGTGTCCTGGCCTGGATCCACATGGGGCTCCAGTGACCCACACCCTCACTGATCAGTTCTCCCGGCCGATACCCCCAGGGGACGATGACAAACATGAGATTCTTCCCTGAGACTTTTTTGTCACTTGAACCTTCCCCCTGAGAAGAGACTTGCTTCTCTCACGTTCTCCAGTTCCCTCCACTGCTTGCCTTGAGCAGAGTGGGGCTCCTGGAGGGATGCTGGGAGGATCACGGGACCCCCCAGGAAGCACTGGGCACACAGGCCTCAGAGGCACAGGGGGCAGGGGGATGCCAGGCCCTAGGCAGTGGTTCGGAGGCCATCTCTCTGGGGGGTTCTGCCACCCAAATAAGCCCCCTCCCTGAGCACGCACCTGTGCACGAGGCCTTATGGAGTCTCTCTGGGTCTTTGATGAGGAGAATGTGGAGCACAGGGCTTTGGCCAACCAGCTCGAGACGGCAAACGTCCCATCTGCTCAGTGAGCCAAACCCCCACGTTCCCGCACACTGTTTAGTTCTTATGCCAAGACGACAGTGCTACCAGTCTTGACACCTTATCCAGGGGGACTTCCCCCTGCCTGATGCTAGTCTTGCCAATCTTTCTTCTTCTTTTAAAATTTACATTTTAAAATATACTTACTATGCTACTTGACTTACCGAAAGGTCATATGTAAATATACGTAACTTACGAAGCATCATACGTGCCCTCTGCCTGCTCAGGACTGAGGCTGTCTTCAGTAACTTTGGTCTGCAGGCTCTTCCCCCACCCAGTCCCCCACTGTCTGCCTGCTGGAGGCGGTCTCCCCCTGAAACTGCTGATCACTCCCTTACTTGTGAATGCATTATGTGTGCAGATGTCTGTATATGTGCGTGTACATATATACTAGTGCATGTGTACACACAATAAATTACATAAGTAGACATAATAATATATACATAAGTTGTAGGTGTATGTGTGCCTACTTTCTTGTGCTTACTTCTTTTCCTTGTTTCTAGGCTCTACGGAATGGCTTGTGTTTCAGCCAAAATTTTATTTCCAAGACTCACCCTTGTTGCCACAGTTGAGTCATTGACTGTCGGTCACCATTTCACAATGTGTACAGTGCGTGGACTTACCCCGACGCGTTTCCTCTTTCCCCGGTAAGTGGGTAGTTGGATATTGTGAACACGGCCTTTGCACACGGCTGCTGTCTGTCTCCTGACCACACGCGGAAGTATTTTTCCCAGGTGCGTGCTTAGGAGAGAGATCCTTGGCTAGTGAGGTACACAAATATTCAATTTTATGAGACAAGTGTTTTCCAAAGTGGTTGCAAATGAAGCAGCTCCCACTGGCAACGTTTAAGGATTCTGCTGACCCACAACCTCTCCAACACTTGAGACCGTCAGTCTTTTAAATGTTACCAACCCACTACCGGGTGTAAAATAGTGGTACTGCGATCCGAACCTGCATTTCCCGTTACTGATGAGGTTGAACATCTTTTCATGTGCTTATTGGCCACTCGTGTTTCCTCTGCTGTTCGAGTCTTTTGTCCATTTTCCATTAAGTTGTTTGCCTTTTCTAACCCGATACATAGTTCTTCACATATCCTGGATACAAATCCTCTGACAGTCATATGGATTGCCAACATCTTCTCCCTATTTGTTGTGTGGATTTTTACTTTAATACATCTTATAATGAACAGATGTTCTTAAGTTTAATATGATCAAATTTATCAGTCTTACCTCATGTGGTTAGCACTTTTTGTCCCTTAAGAAATCTTCCTTCCCCAAGGTCATAAAGATACTCACCTATATTTTAAAAGTTTAGTCTTCCTTAGTTCATCTGGACTGGGTCCTGAGCAGGGTATAAGGTACATACCTAATTCCATTCCACCGCCCCCACCAAATGGAGAAACAAGTGCTCTGCCGTCACTTACTGAAGCGGTTCCTTTCCCTACTGGTCTGCAGTGCCTCGTCTGCCATATATAAAAAGATGTGTGGTCTGTTTCTGGCCTTTCTGCTATTTCATTAGTCAGTGTGTCCATCCTTGAGCCAATAACAAATGGCTTGACTTACTACAACTAAGTTTGTCTTGATTTTTGCGGGTGCAAGTCCCATACCCTCTTTTTCCTTAGGAGTGTCTTGGCTCTTCTAGGCCATTTGCCTTCCTGTTATATATTTTAGAACCAGTCAACTTGAATAAAAATTCCTGTTGGAATGTTGGTCAGAATTCCATCGACTCTATAGGTAATTTTAGGGAGAGATGACATCTGTGGCCCTGAGGCCTTCTTATCTATTCAGATACTGTGTCTCTACATTCTCCTGCTCTCAGTCATTTAAAAAAAAATATTTTCTCCTTAATGATCATACACTTCTTTTGTTAGATGTAGTCTTCCTAACTCATGCTTTTGTTGCTATTGTAAACAGGATCATTTTTCTAAATTACATGTTGTTTGTTGTTGATGTGTAGAAGTTGGTGTGTGTGTGTGTGTGTGTTGATTTTATACTCAGTAATCTTGCTAGATTTTTATTAAATCTAACAAATTAGCTCTAGATTATTTTTAATTTTCTGCATATGTAATCCTATTACCTGTGACTTCTTTTTTCCCCTCCCAATCTTGGTACATTTTATCCCATTGCTGTGTGGTGCTCCATTGTTAAGGCTCCATTGCAATGCTGAACATCCTTCTTCTGTTCCTGATGTCAAGGGAATGTTCCCAGCATTTCACCACTGGTGTGGTGTTTGCTGTAGGTGTTTGTGGGCACCCTTGATCAGGTTAAGGAAGTTCCCTTCTATTCCTGGTTTCCTAAGAGCTTGTTTTTCTCAACATGAGTGGTGCTGGGTGGTCTTCAAAACTTTTTTTGCATCTGTGGATGATTACACAGGTGTTTTTTGATCTCCTGATGCAGTGATTCACACTCATAGATTTTTAAGTGTTAAAACAGAATTAGCCCTGACCGGTTTGGCTCAGTGGATAGAGCACCGGCCTGTGGACTCAGGGGTCCCGGGTTCGATTCCGGCCAAGGGCATGTACCTTGGTTGCGGGCACATACCCAGTGGGGAGTGTGCAGGAGGCAGCTGATCGATGTTTCTCTCTCATCAATGTTTCTAGCTCTCTATCCCTCTCCCTTCCTCTCTGTGAAAAATCAATAAAAATATATTTTAAAAAAACAGAAGTATATTCCTGGGTAAATCCAACTTGGTCATATATCCTTGTTATCATTTTATGTATTACTTGAATTTGGTTTGCTTCATGTTCTGTATAGGATTTTTAAAAAGATTTATATAGGTTTATGAGAGTATATGTCTTTTCCCTTCGGTTATGTTAGCCTCACAATATGTGATGGGGAGTGCTCGCTCTTTCAGTCAATCCCGTCCCCAGTACTCCACAGAATTTATCAAAGTCACCATGACCTCTGTGTTGCCACATCCAATGGATTGTCTGTCCTCACTTTATTTGGATGTCTATCATTTTACTGACTTATCTTTTCTTCTTGAAACACCCCTTCCCGTTGGGCCCCTTTGCACCTTCCCTCAGGGCAGTCCCTGAGTTAAATAACACTAAATGAGGGCCAAAGATGGCCACAGGGTGGGTCATGTGTCCCTTTGCGACTTGCTTTGGGCCAAAGGGACCTTAGTAAACGTGGTGCAGAGGTTGGAAAAGCCCTGTGCACAGAGCTTTGCCACCATGAGAACAACCCGGCCAGCCTGCTGATGGTGGGTGACTCATGGCCCATCCGAGGATGTCCCAGGAGTCTTCACTTTTCCTTACTTGTCAACTAGTGGCCCTTTGATACTGGAGCTGGCAGCTGGCCCTCAGGCAGGGTCACGGGCTTGCTTGTTCACTGGCTGACCGCAAAGACAGGTTTTTCCTTTCCCTCAGACAGCAACCTGAAGCAGGTGACTGGCCTGTTGCAACACTTTCCCCTGTGGTTAATTTATGCTCCGGATCACTGAGCTTCTCTGTCATGTTCAAATGTCACACGACTCCTGAGTAAGAGAAGCTAACACTGACGGCATGCTGACCACGTCCCGGGCTCTACACTGGGCTCTCTACTCGTGTGTGTCTCCTCTTCGCCATCTCACACACGAGGAAACAGGCAGGGGTCCTGAGAGATGCCTAAGCCCCCTCAGTTGAGAATTGGCTGCAGCTGGACTTGATTTTGGAGTCTAGCCTGTGCCCCCGGCTGACCCCACCCGGCACCAGGCTAGCCAGGCCCTACCCACTCTCTCCATCCCCTGTAAAAATGAATAAAGGAAACCTCATTAAAATCGGGGTGGGGAAGCTCATGTACCATACTCACTGACATCTGCAGACTCCAGCAGGAAGAACTTACCTTGTCCTTCCCGGCCATGTGTCTCGGTGGTTTGAGTGTCGACCTGTGAACCAGGAGGTCATGGTTCAATTCCCAGTCAGGGCTCATGCCTGGGTTACAGGCTTGATCCCTAGTGTGGGGCATGGAGGAGGCAGCCAATCAATGATGCTCTCTCATCACTGATGTTTCTATCCCTCTTTCCCTGAAATTAATAAAAATATATTTTTAAAAATGTAATTAAAAAAATAAAAATAAAAAAGCACATTTGACCACAGAGGCAGGAGGAAGGTTTTCTCCTGGCCCAACAACAGCCCAGCCAATGAAAGATCACCACACTCAGCCAATGAGAAGCCACCTTGGCTGTCCTTGAATGGACTTTCGCTCAAAACTGCCCCTCCCAGCTTCCTCCTTTTTCTCTATAAAGTAACACTCCCCTCCTTTGTCCTCAGGACTTGCCTATTGTGCCCGGGAATTTGCAGTCTCGAGCTGCAACACCCCTGCTATTCCCGAATAAACTCGTTTTCCCTGGCAAGGTAAGAGGCAATTTTATTTTTAAGGTTGACCTCCTTGAGTTCTCCTAGTAAAGCACCAAAAAACGAACGGCTCGCCCCTTATTACCCACTCCTCTGCTCTCGGGACCCGTGTTCAAGAACTCTAGTTTTCCTATTAACCTTTATTTTCCGTCTGGATAGAATTGCAGTCTCGAGTTATTCTGGTCCTCGGAAGTGCATTTCCACATATGCTCGTCGCAGGTACACGTTTCTAGGTCTAACCATGCACCATGGATGCAGGAGTCAGTCTATCGCATGCACCGTACAAAGGCTTTCAAATGCCTTTACTGTCGGAACCAACCGGTGCAATAACCACCTTCACTTTGGTCGTTTGGGCTTGCCTCTGCTGTCACCGAAAGTGCTTCACTGAAACAGGGGAGCCCCCTTGTCACTGGGGGACCGGGTTTCCTAATGCACACCCAGGGCTGGTGGACCGGCCGGAATGCGTTAGAACGTCCGATGCCAGCGGGCCCTGCGGAGATCTCCGTCCGGAGCCCCCGGCCCCCGCCCGGGGCCCCGCAGCCCGCGGGGCACGCCGCTCCCCGCCCCTGCCTCGGCTGGCGCTCGGGGTCGC